TTTGTAATTTGTTATTTTGTTTTCAGAATTGTGATCTGTTTAGCACTTCTCGGCCACCGTACTTCTGAGATCAGCTTCACTTGACTTAGACGCATGGTTTACTACAATATCTTCTCAAGATTCACTACCGCCTTCAGCCATATTTACTGCATCTGTGTGAAGGGCGGAAGCGATTCAAAACCCGTTCAACGATTCATTTGCGCCAAAAGGTTCACGGCAGTGCGCGTGGCGTGCCACATTCTTTAAATTCCGTAGTGAAATATTTCGCTGCACATTGCTATATAGGTGCATATAAATGGAAAGGATTGCATTAGTAATGGGAGAAATTAATCCTTCTGAATCTTCGAATCAATTGAACCATGATTCACTGTTTCGAACGGAACAGTGCACGCTGAGGACATCTGTTGGTCAAATACATGCAGCTACAATAATTTTTGTAAATATGTCAATATGCAATTTCCTTGAATTTTCTGAATCTTTGCATGATATGTAGAACTTATTCATATAGCTTATAAATATCGAAATAGTGTGTAATGCAGCTAAGTTTGTGTTTAATATTTGGTTTACATATAACAGGGAACATTATGACAAGGTTCTCTTAAAGTTATGAACAAACTTTCCAGTAACATTAATAGAACATTTGTTTTATTACACGGCTCTGTGGAATACTTGATTCTGATTGGTCAATCGCGCCATCCAGCGGTATGTTATTCCCAGATAACAACCGCCTAATTGAATAACACCGCTCATCCGGGTACTACGAGTTATCTTGACCGCTACTACTTATATGCTTAACGAGTCACTCCGCTATTGTTGACTGTCTGGCGCCATCTTGTGACTGAAAACACTTAACCACCGCGTGTTACAATGGAAGACTTCAGCATTAATTTCAACATATATGGTAAAAACAAATCTTTTTAGCGTGTAATAAGCAGGATAATGTACATCCAGCCGGTTGTTATCTCAGAATAAACCCCTTCAGGCTGATACAAGACCCCTCCGCGAAGATCACCCTGTCTGGGTTTATTCTGAGATAACAACCAGCTGGATGTACATTATCCCTTACTTAATAACGTTCACAAAAGCATTATTTATACATTGTTCATGGAAGGTTTTATGCATTTATTTATTTAATGTTTTAGCTGGACATGATTCATCTAACGTTTTTTTCCTTTTAAATGATCGCCTTTCAGAACGTTTCGAGAACATTCAAAAATAACGTTCCCTTATTGTTTGCAAAATGATAGAATGGAACATTCCCCTAATGTTTTCTATAGCTAGATAACC